AAAAAAAAAAAAACACATCATAGTAAAACCAATACCTTCTCAGCTTCGCATTGAAGCTAAAAATTTAAAGGTCTACCTCACACAAAGTTATTATTTTCAATCTTTCCCTTATCAAAATCAATTGACTGCCATTGATTACATTGTACAGAGCCATGTATAGAGTAACTTATACAATAAAAAAATTCAGTTTTAGTTTTTCAAAATATTGGTCATGTTAATTTTTTTTAATGTATGTTGTTAAAGGTTTTTATTTTAATTTCGGCAACTACTCCTTATTCTGGAATAAAATTATTAAGATTTAATTAAAATGATTTATATTAATTTTTATTTTATGATTGTGTTATATCTGTTCCTTTATTTTGAGTTATCATGGTATTAGCAAGAGAATAATATTTATTTCTTGTTATATTATTTAACTACAAAAAAATTCTTATTATAGTTGGTCTCATTAATTTCAAACTTGTTATAATTTTATTTAATATTCATTCATCTTCACAATATCAGATGTCAAAATACTTGATTTTTTAAGAAAATTATTTTAAAAATAAATTTACTCTTTAGTCTATAAATATAAAACAACAATGTAACATTATTACATATATATATATATATATATATATTGCTTTTGTGAGTACAAATGGGCCTAAATAAAAAAATAGTATTTCAAGATAAATAACTTTAATTCTTTTGACTTCCCATAAGAGATAATTGTGTGTTTTTAGTATTTATATCAAATTTCATATTAATAATATACGTATTTAGTTAGAGATTTATAAACTATATTCAATAATACCAAAAAATTAAATATCATGAATTTTGATATGTGGTATGTAACCACTCTGTAATTTTATTTATTTAATACTTTTTTTTTTTTTGGAAATTAAAATAATTTTACTGTAAGGAGTGAACACAAATAAATGGTGCCATTGTCTACTTTATCAAATTTCTATTTAAACTTATTTACTCTGCTTATTTATTTACATTTTAATACTAAATAAATAAAAAAAAAATTAATACATCTTATGCATATTCATATCCATGAAGATAAATTATTGTAAATTTGGTTATTTTAAAATGTAAAATTATTATGTTGTTTTATAATTTTGTTAATTTTTTTTTTCAGAATAAAAACAAATCTAAAAAGAAAAATAAGCCGAAACGGTTACAAAAAACTGTTTGAATTACCTTTATTACAATAAACATTTTTATTTGACTAATATTATTCATTTTTTTTTTTTTTTTTTTTTTTACATTATTAAAAATGTATCAAATGTTTATTATTACTATGACTTATTGAAGGTTTTGTTTATTTAAACATATTAATATGTTTGCATAATTTATGTACATTTCTTTCATAATAATGTAATTAATATTATTTATTTATTTATTTAAAGTAACCCTGGGAAGGTAAAATAAGTACATTCATTACATTATTTACTTTAGTTAAAAACTATTTAACGATTATAAACAAAATAACAAAAATAGTGCATAAAAAACATAGTAATTATTAATATATATTGGTATTCAAGAGTAAAAGATTTGAGTTTAGCTATACTACCATGAAGAAAATCAAAATTAGGGATTTCATTACAAGAAGATATATAACGATTTAATTAACAAAATTTAACATAATTATGAGAGCTTATAGTAACATAAAAAAGTGTTTAACATGTATTAATAAAAACAGGTACTTCTAAATTAATTTAATTTAATTTATCTGAATAGTCAAACATTAAATGAAACGTAATAATTTATGTACCCAAAAATCTATCAGCTAAATTATGTCTAGACTCAAATTTAGAAATTTTATGTTTAATTGCAATCTCATTATTATCCACACCAGACATTACAATACATAAGCAATTTCATGTGCAAAAAACGCTTTTGAACGGTCTTCAATTATCTTATGATCATTTTGATAAGGACTAAATAATAAAATCAAATTGGAAAAGTGGTCCAACTATAGATGCTAATTAAGTAAAAAGACATTTAGTTTTTAAATTCGAGGCAGTTCCGTTTTAAAAAGTCCATGTTTCTAATTGGCTTTGTAACAAATAATATTTAATATTCAGAAAAATTTTAATTGTAATATAGTATCAAACCGTAATCACGAACTTGCATTACTTTTTTATCCATAGCCATTAATTGTAGTTTGATAAAAAAATTTTTAGTTTTTAAACCTCATGCAACTAATATTTTCGTAATTTAACAGTTTAAAATCATTACTAAACCACTCTGGAAAAGTTTTTCTTTAATAAGAAACTCTAGGAATATATTTATCAATTATACTGTTAATTTTATCATAAAAACAGTTAATATTATTTTCATTTGATTTTTAAGAAAATTTACTGTACCTATCAACATAATTGAAATTTCGTCGTATTAAATTGTGATTAATTTCAACATTTATGTAATAAAAAGTTAAAATTTTAACTAGTTTAATCATTGTCATTTTATATACATTTATATCAATGAATTTGATCAGTTTTTCTTAAAACTGTCATAACTTTTTAGAAATTAAATAAATCAAAATTATTTTTGATGAATATTTTAGGTGTTTTCAATTCAATAGGCATTATTTTTTGAAAATCTAACCCTAAGGCTATCCACGAGGAGGGGATTCAAAATAGCAGAGGTTCCAGAGATATTCCAAATTTTAAAGATATGTTAAAGAAAAGCCTATGTTGCATAGTATCAGTTTTCTTTAATGACTAATTTTCTACTTCAATTTTATTTGTTTATTCTTTTTTTAATATTTATGATGCCTATACTTTATACTTTAAATAATACATCAACACGTAGATATGTACCCTCCCTTTTACCAAAAATATAATTCAATGAGATTCAAGTGTTAATTATAAATATTTTCAGGAAGTACTTTTGTGGTTTTTAATGTCAGTCATTAATTATATTGAAGGGCACTGCCCTTTTCAAAAACACTAAAATTTTAATAAACTATAGTCACAATAATACATTTTTTTTTTATATATAAACCCATTCTTACAATTTTGATATAATTGTAATCACAATATAAGAGTTAATGTCTTTTGGAATAATCCAACAATTTCTCTTAAAAATTAAATATCTATCTTAGCTACACTGGGGCCCCACAAAAAAACAAATTTTTTTTTTTTACATGCATATACATTAATTGAAGGATCAAGTGCAATAATTATTTCTACTTTTTTTTTCAAAATAAAATTGTTTACATTTTTTGATAGAGAATCATTATTTTAAAAATTTGGTGTAACCACTAGATATATCTGTCCACTAAAATAGCTAAAAATAGACATGCATAATATACAGAATTTAGTTCTATAACTATTTTATTTTCATCTCTGAACACGATTTTTAAAAATAAAAATAGCAAATAATTGCACCAGATCCCTGAATTATAAACAAATATGGCTAATTAAATTTATTTAAGTTTCTTTATATTAATTAAATAAATTGATTAATGATCATTAAACTCTATTAAAAGAAAATACTATATTTTGAATTTAATAAGTATTTGTAGAAAAAAAGTATAACTGTTTTATTTTTAATTTAAATGAATTTTTGTAAATACAAAACAAAAAATTCATTGACAATAAAACACTTTATTAAAATAACAGCAAGATGTGGAAATAAAACAGTTTTATTGTTGGAATGAAGTAGACGCCCTAAAACAATATTTATCTTTGCACTAGATAACATATAGCATTTGTTAACTGAACACAGTTGATTCACAAAATGAATTCAAAAATGTTTCATTTCATAAATATATAAATAAATGATGTTTGCTAATAAATTTAATTCTTAAAATATAAAAAAATTAAAAACAATATATAACTACAGTAGAAAAATAATGATGTCAGTCTTGGTAAGTCTGGTATGAGGTCTTACATCATGCCACCCATTCCACCCATACCGCCCATACCACCCATTCCTCCCATTCCACCTCCAGGTAGTGGTTCTTCTTTTTTCGGTAATTCAGTGACAACTGCTTCAGCAGTGGTTAATAACGATGCAACTCCAGCAGCATCAGTCAAAGCTGTTCGAACAACCTATAAGATTTAAATTACATAAAAATATACAAGATAAGATAATTATGGCTTCATTTTATATTTATACTTTTAAAAATAAATATAAGCACTTTTAAAAATTTTAAAAGTACTCACTTTAGTAGGATCGATTATGCCTTTTTCAATCATATTAACATATTCATCATTTAATGCATCATAGCCGAAATTATCTTTACCTTCACAAACTTTGGCAACTACAACACTTCCATCTACACCAGCATTTTTAGCAATTGTCATACACGGCATAGTCAAAGCTTTACGTATAATATCAATTCCTGTAGAAATTCACTGGCTATAGAAATAAATAATAGAAATAAAACAATAATAACACAAACCAATTTTTTGATCTTCATTAGAAACTTTAATAGAATCTAAAACATTTATACACCGAATAAGAGCAGTTCCACCTCCAGGAACAATACCTTCTTCAACAGCTGCACGGGTCGCATTTAGAGCATCATTCACACGGTCTTTTTTTTCATTAACTTCAACCTCACTACTACCACCAATTTTGAGAACTGCAACACCTGAAGCTAATCTGGCAAGACGCTCTTGTAATTTTTCCTTTTCATACTCTGATGTAGTCTCACTGATTTGATCTCTAATTTGATCTGCACGACGTTCAATTTCAGATTGTTGACCTTTGCCCTATCATAAAAATAAGATTTAATAAATTAAATAAATAACATATAACAATGATTCAAATTCAATAATTACTTTTAACAATAATGTATCATCTTTGGTTATTATAACTTCCTTAACTTCTCCAAGATCATTTATTTTTATGTCTTCAATTTTTAATTCATTTCCTTCTTGACCAAATACTACTCCACCAGTAGCAATAGCCATATCAGTTAATGTAGCTTTACGGTTATCACCAAAACCAGGTGCTTTAACTGCAGCAACATTAAGACCGATTTTCAATCTAGACAATAAATTGATGTTTATATCAATTGATTGATAAATAGTAATTAGTTTTAAAGTTATACAAACAGTACCTATTCAATACAAGCATTCCAGTCACTTCACCATCTAAATCTTCAGCTACAATAACAAGAGGTTTGCGCTGGGCATTTGCTAATTCTAATGCTGGGATTAATGACTGAGCAGATGATATCTTCTTTTCACTGAATAGTACTAACGCATCTTGATATTCAACTTTGGCCCCTTAAATAACATAACATATTTAAGAAAAAAATTAACATAAGTTATAAAAAAATTTAATTAAACCTTTTGCAGAGTTGATGAAATAAGGTGAAATGTATCCTCTATCAAATTTTAAACCTTCAATAACTTCTAATTCATCATCTAAAGTTTTTCCATCCTTAACAGTAATAACTCCATCTTTACCAACCTGTAACAATATTTTTTCAATTAAATTAAACAAAAAAATTTTTAAAACCTTAATATACTTTATCCATAGCAGATGAAATTAGTTTTCCAATACTTATATCCCCATTAGCAGAAATAGTTGCGACTTGTGCTATTTCATCAGATGATTGAACTTTTTTTGACAAAGTACTTAAGTGTTGTTTAACAGCATCTACAGCTAACATTACTCCTAGAAAAAAAATTTGTTTAAGCAACCTTAAAGAAAAAAATATTAGCATTTTTGAAATATAACTTTACCTCTTCTTATTTCAACTGGATTAGCACCTTTAATTATCTTTTCAAAACCTTCTTTAGCAATAGCACGCGCTAATACAGTAGCGGTTGTAGTACCATCTCCAGCTTCATCATTTGTATTATTAGCAACATCTTGTACAAGTTTAGCACCAATATTTTGGAATTTACCTTGAAGCTCAATACCTTTAGCTACTGTTACACCATCTTTAGTAATTTTTGGAGAGCCCCAACTTTGTTCTAATATGACATTACGACCCTGTAAATAATATTAATTGTAAAATGAGATAATTTATTGATAAAAAATGATCTATTAATTAACCTTTGGACCCATAGTAACTGCTACAGCATCAGCAAGCACATCAACTCCTTCTAACATAAGTTTCCTTACTTCGGCACCAAATTTAATATCCTTGGCATAATTTCTTGACAAATATTTAGGTACATTGTTTCTAGCAAGTTGAGATAAACGATACATCTAGAATATAATAAGTGAATAAAATATAAATTAAAAACGTTACTAGAATCACATAAAAATTGATCATAAATCAGTAGGTTAGTCATAAACCACATGTACAAGAAAAGTAATTATTCATTAAAAAAAATATAAATTAACACTACCCAATAAAGGATTGAGATAAAAGTACTAGTTAAAATATCCATACAAATTTAATTTAAGAAATAAGTACTTCAATTTATAAAATCGGATTCCACATGAATATTGAGTAAGGTTAGATAATATTAACTAAGGGTATTATAAAAATTAAAAATAAAACATTATCCTAATCTTACCTTAATTAATGTATATACTTAAATAACTAACAAAAATAAAACTTTAGAATATTTAATACAGAAAAAAAATTTTAAAGAGGTAGATAAATAGTCAAAAATTTCTCAAAACCAACTGAGACAAGTAGTTGATACACATGAAATACCGGCAAAATCACGAGAAGACTAGCCGAACAACCTAAGAAACTTCTAGAATAATTGTAATAGCAGACAGTGTGACCACCAAAAAATAACAGATAATTCTATAAACAACCGCCAATTTTTAAATATTTTTTTAACTTTACGCATTCTTACTTCAGAAAAGTAATATTTTAATATTTTTCAGTAAGAATTTTAAATAACAATTATTATAAAAATTCGTCATAATATAATTATTACATTTTAAAGAATTTGTTTTTTCATAGATTTATTAAGTAGTTAATAGGTCAATGTTACAAAGCTATAATTTTCTTCCAATCAATTATTTACTGCGGTTGTCCAACCTCAGGGGCACCAACGTCAAATTTATTATGTATTATATTATATAAAATGATTCTTTTAATGCTTGCCACTCTGCCAACATTTCTCTTAATATAATAATTATATTGAAATCATTATTATTGGTATTTTTTAGTTTACTATGTTACTTCTTGATTTATCAATTATTAAGTACTTTTTTAATAAATTATACCTAATAAGGTATAAAATAAACTTATAACTTTTAAATGACAACATACATATTTATTTAGCTTATATAAAAAAATCTATAATTCAGTAAGGTGTTATAACCCTCACTAAATATGTTTCTAAAATTTAAAATAATATTACAAATATTAAATATGTACAAAATATAAAATACAATAGTTAATCAGCAATTAACATTTAAAAATAATAATACAAGCAATATATACAATTTATAATTATATATAGTAAATATCATTCAATATTAAAAACATATAAATTTGTAATATTTTTTTTAACAAAACCTCTCCCCGAAAATATGCTGGATACACCATTGCGGTCAGCATAAGCATTACTTAAAACCTATCTGAACGATTCATCAAGTAAATTACTATTTGTGCTTATCAGAAAGTAAAAGGTTATAAAAAAACTGAAATTTCTTTATAGAACTTTAAAATTTATTAAAATCAAATCCGTAAGGAGAGTCTATTTTTCCACTGAGTAACTCATTTAAAAGTTTAATGCCTGCTTCAACTTTATGATCTGTAAATGAAGTAAAATTGAGTATGTTTGTAACAGAAATATAATCATGAAGATCATATTAAATTTAATATAAATCCAGTAGATCGTAATTATTTCCCATAAAACTTAGGGACATAATATACAATTATGTTAATAAAATATTGTACGTGATAAGTATTCTATATATTTTCTTTGTTATGAAAAAACGAGCATTTTACTAATAATTATTTTGAATGACATAGAAAAGAAAATCGTGTTCAAAAAATGATTATGAAAATGCTGAAGTCAACTTGGATGACAACTTTTTTTTATACAGTTATAAACTATTTTTTGATAACTGTTTTATGAAATTCAACATTTTTAAATAAATATAAGCGGAAAAATATTTTTTAGAATCTCTTTGTTATTTATATAGTTAATATCACGGTTTTATAACCGTGCTTGAAATAAATATATCAATGATAAGAATGTAAGATCATAACCTCAAAAAAAGGCAATTTCTCCTGTTGTGTTGTTTACCAATTATTTATTACTCTGAATAATTTTGTCGGTCGAATTCGTTCATATTAATCGTAGGTAAGAATTTTTTTTTTCATATTTATCTGTAATTATCTTAGTAATCCTCTCACTTGTGTTTAATAAATTACATTTTTAAACAGAAGAATTAAATATTTTAAGTATTGCTAGTTTTCCGCTTATTACTATCGTAAATATTGATTGTTTTTCAGCAAATCATGTCGATCAAACCTAAGTATCGTCCTCATATCATTAAAAAAAGGACTAAGAAGTTCATCAGACATCAAAGCGATCGTTATGATAAACTTAAGGTTTGTTAACTAATATATTTATTTTTTTGATAGTTTGATCAGCCTTAACTTTTATTTTTACAGCCCAACTGGCGTAAACCTAAGGGTATTGACAATAGAGTTCGTAGGCGGTTTAAAGGACAATATTTGATGCCAAATGTTGGTTATGGTAGCAATAAAAAGACTAGGCATATGTTGCCATCCAAATTCCGTAAAGTGCTTGTTCATAATGTTAGAGTAAGTATATATTTTACAGTAATTAAATTTAAGTAATAATTATTTATAATCACAAAATGTAATTATTCATTATCTGGTTTATAGTTTATTTCTAATAATATTTTATATAAAATAAGTAAATGAAAATTACAAATACAAATATGTTTAGTCATACTTTAATTAAATTCTAACTTTTGGGAGGTTGCTATGAACTTAATGTTTTTGGGATTAACTTTAGAATTTTATAGGTACCTTAATTCTGTAGACTTATAATATGGTATAACTTCAAGCTGGTGTCTAAAATAAATTAATAGTTTATATCTGATCAACAAATTCATAATATTACTTACTCTCTAATTCTTCTCTTAGCAAGTTATGATTTTATAAAAAGAAAATAATATTGTTATTTGAATTTATCTGTTATAAAATGAAATATAATATTTTATACTTAATTTTTTTTTTTATATCTTTAAATTAACTAATTTTTTTATTTAATTTAATTACTTCTTAATCTAATTCTTAATAATTGTGAATAACTTTTAAACATATGTTATTGAACATTTTTCAACCTTTGTAAACTTAGATATAAAAATTACAATAGTTTAATAATAGCCATATCTGTATTTCAACTACATTTTATTGTTTGTATATATTTTAAAGTAGTAATAACTTTTGAAATGCTAGTCTAAAAGTTGAAACAGGCATTTTCTAAAATTAATTCTTTTCTATTTTATAAGCTGATTAAATACTTATGTTATTTTTAAAAAAATACAGTTAACGCCCAAATAGAACATAAAGGTGTCAACCAAAAAAGTTCTTGGAATTAAAAAAGCCAAAAATATATTTCTGATATTACTTGTATATTATAAATAATTGAGTGAGTCTATTGGGATATCAGAGTTAACTGTAATATAAAAACTACATAATATTATTTTAATATATTTTCTATTTTGTATAAAATAACATATGAAATAAGAAAATATGACTAAATTATGTTATTATGTAAGTTTTGTCAAAAACATAGTTTTTATTATTTGTCTCTAGTGCGAGCGGTATGCACATACACCAGTATAAGCTATACCCTATGTATTAAAAACCTTGTAACTTATTAAGTGCTTATTCAAAAATTGTTATCAACCCAGCAAAAAAAGTTTTAAGAAAAAAAAAAAATTTATTAACATAGTCTAAAACTATACAAGTTATTAAGAAAATAAGTATCCCATAATATTTGTTTGATTAAAAGTTGATAGAATTTGTTAAAACCTTATGGATCACCACATACATTAATCAACAGTTTACAAATTAATCATTTTTGTTGACATTGATATTATTAGGAATTGGAAATGTTAATGATGCAAAATAGAAAATACTGTGCAGAGATTGCTCATGGTGTTTCATCCAAAAGCCGCAAAACCATTGTTTCCAGAGCCCAAGAGTTATCTATTAGATTAACTAATGGCAATGCTCGTATTAGAACTCAAGAAGGTTAAGTTTTGTAAAATTATTCAATAAAAACAAAAGTTCTGAATTGCGAGTTTTATTTATTTTTTTATCTTTATTTAATTTATATAATTTATTAAAACATACCAAAGTACATTATATAAGTAACAATTATGGTATACATTTGTTAAAAGAATATTTTCTAAGTTATACTTATTTGTATTTTCATAACTAGTATGTAGTTTGAAAATAGAGACTAATAACTTAATTTTGAATTACATCGTGACATATTTTAGTAGTCATTTCCATTAATGGCTCCAACTCTTTGCTGATTACTAGATCAAATTCAGTAATAAAGTAGTAGAAGTGTTTGTAACAAGTATTAACATGGGGCTCCTAGAGAAAAATATTAATAAGTAATTATTAAATTTTAATTAGTGTTCCATAAAATTTTAAAGAATAGAACAGTTTTGGACAAAAAACATTCAGAACTGAATATTTTTGTACATTTCTTAAATAGAAACTTCAATTGATAATTTATAGCATTTTAATAAAGGACACATTAAAATTAAAGTAGATTCAAATTTTGTAAAATGTGACTAAATTCTTATATTAAAATATATTTTGATTTTGACTATTTTTTAGTTAGAAGGGTTAAGTATGTTATAAAATCAATAAATTTACAAACTAATGTACAAAAACAAAATATTATATTAGACATCAATTAATATGCTGCCACCCATAAATGTTTTGTTGATAATTCTAATCAATTTTATGGTTAGAAATTAATTTAGAAATGTATTTATAATTTTTTAAAAATAAATCATGTTATTTAAGACATACTTACAGCTCCAATTGATACAATTCTATCAAAATGATGAATATAAACATGGACAAAAACTCTGAATAATCTAGTAAGTATTTTCTTACACAATGGCAAAAAAGATTTTGGAAATGGCACATCTATAAATAATTATTAACAAACTAAAAATTATTTTTATTATATTTATAAACTTTCTAAAATACCAGTTGATACAGGAAAAAGATTTTCGTTATTTATTTGGTTTTCAATCCAATCCATAAGTAATGATACATACTGAGGAGCAGGAAGTTGGGTTGGTTTTTTATACTTTTCTTTATCGGCCCATAAGTACTCAAACTTTGGACCACCACTCATTGTTGGACATGATTCTTCAGTACAATAGTCACAGACAGTACCATATATCAAATTAATTCGATTGAAAAAATCAACTACTGTTATATGTAAATAATTGATAATATGTCATTAAATAAATAATTTCTATACTATGTAGTTAACAACACACAAAAATAGTGTAATATAAATATATTAATCATCTTTAAATTGATCATTTAATTTCTTAGCACTTATGTTGCAATACTAATTTATAAAAAATGAATTTAAATTGTCCAAATTTCTATTAAAAAAAAAAAATCTCGGATTAAAATTGATGGTTTTGATTAAAATCACTGTCATAAAATGAAATGAAATGCATATTTGGAAAAAATTTAATGAATACTTAATTCTACCTAAGAGACTGATTAATTATAGAAGACATGGATATTCATCAGAAATTTTTTTTAACCATATAAAACAATTTAGAATGATGTTAGTATTCTCTTACTATACAAAAGGAACTACAAAATCATTTGCATTTAACTCCAAAAGTTGTTAGATAACTTTCATTCATCATCATCTAGTACATTGTATTATTTATAATTAATTGTATGTTTAAAATATGGTTCTTTGAAAAGAAAAGATATGATGATTTTTAGGTCCAGAAAGTATATGGATTAATAATTGAATTTTTTAAAAAAGTTTAAAACTTTAGGTGTCACCAATCAAAACCTTACAATAATCTTTTAAATTTCAAAATAAAGTGAAAACTAAAAATATCAAGATTGATTATTTTAAAATAATTTTAATTTTTGGAACATTTCAATTTATTAAGGGTATTGAGGCAAATTTATAGAATTATGGTGCTAATTACAATAACTAAACATGTGATTTTTTAATGTATCATTGAGCAAAATTGGTCCAGAAAGATCACACTTTGTCAGTGTCTATTGACAAAAACAAAATAGCATGATAAATCTAATAGTTTCTTAACTATGCATTGTATCTAAAAAAAAGTAATTTTATAATTGTATAAAAAAAAGCTAAACAAAGTTCATTTAAAATATTATGACTAATTATTAATCTCTTTTTCTTAATAATTAAAAGTTAAAAAATTGAAATTTTGTGCAATGGTATTAAAACAAAATCTTTTGACTTAAATACTGAACATGTACAAAAAGAAGTTATTAATTCTTCAAATATTAAGAATAAACTATTATCTTACCATGAACAGCAATCCAATCATATAAATCTTCTCCCACTGGCAATTGCACTGCTGTTCTTAGATTTATTCCAGAACTTAACGATGCTTGAGCTTGTTTATACAATGAGTAACGTAGAGTACCAGGAGAAAATTTTTTTTTTGGTCGAAATGTCTGAGGAAGAATTGAACAATAAAATATATTTTATAATATAATAATTGATATATTTTCAACTTTCTTAATAATATTTTCATACTTAAAATTATACTTACTTTTCCTTTTTGAAAAAAATCTATAAATCCACCAAAAGACATCGTCAATAATAAAAAATATTAAAATACTTTATAAATAAAATATTAAGTCTCAGGTACTTTAAATTTTATTTTATTCATAGCAAATTAATTTTTATTATTATTGCTTTTTAAGACCAGAGGCTATAGTTTTTATTTGACAACAATAATAACATTTATGATAAGAGATAAAATTTGATCTTAATAGAAATATTATCATTTTATGATTTTTATTAATAATAAAATGATAATAACAAAAAGCCAATATTAATATATCTTTTTTAATAAATAATTGGTACAGTCGTAAATGTGTACTTTTTATGTCGAAAAATATCATTAATGACTTTTAAAGTAGAAGATTAGTATAAGAATCTAGAAAAAGTTGTTAGTTCACAAGAGTTTTCTTTTTTTTCTAGAAAATTTTTAAACACTAATAGTTTATGCTATATTTGCTTATTGTTAAAATATATGACACACACCTCAATTTTTTGTAAGACTCCAATTCTCATGTAAAATGTATTTTAAATACTAGCTATAATTTAACACTGTTAACGGATTTAAAAATTTTTAATTGGTAAATAATTACTTAGTGAAAATATTTAATATTTATTAAAAAGTGTAAAGATTATAATTTTAATTATAGGTAAATTTAAAATTCTTTGAAATGTCTAAAGCAACTAAGATAAATAAAAACCAATTAGCCAAGTTTATTGATTATCTAGAAAATAAAAATAGAAAAAATGACAATAATACCATAAATGGTTGTGTAGTAAGTTAAATATTTTAAATAATTTAAAATAAACTATAAATTGAATATCCAAAAAACTCTACATTAAACAGAATCTTATCTACCATTTTACATTATAAATTTGGGGCATAAAATAAGAATTATTCAATGTAATTGAACAAATTATATTAAATAGAAAGTATGTTTAATATATAGTTGTTGATATAAGTTTAATAGGAAATCTACTAGCACGATCTAGAGTGCAATGTGCCTTGGTGCATAGGTCAACGGTGTATTTAGGGGTAGTCCAAGTAGACACGCCTAGGGCTGCATTTTTTGAGAGTTCGTTTTTTTTTTTTTGGTAGTTTAAGTAATAATATTATTATTAAATTTATTTTAAAAAATGTTTGTATCATTAATATTTTATAATAGATAAAATTTTGTTTATAAAACAAATAGTATTTTAAGAAATTATTTATTTGGTATATATTTTATGTTAGTCCTTTCAAACTGAACATTTTTTTTAAATATTTCAAATGTAATTAAATCATTTTTAAATGGAAAACCTTTTTATTTTATTTACTGACTTATTTTCAGTAAAATAAATAAATTTATTTATAAAGCTAGATATGTTATACCATTTTTATTTAACTTATTAATCATTCCATACTAGAAAAAAAAAATTAATTTAAAAAAGTGTAAATTGTATAAAATGACTTTTTTTTTTTTATTTTAGGAATTCTTAAAAACTGCTTTATATACATCTCCAAGTTTTATTTATGATACAACATTAGAAACACATCTAAAAACAAAAAAGTTTTTTGAGGAAATTAATTTTGATAGTCTAAGTACTGACCATTTGTTCAATATAGGATCAATTTTGCAACAAGGAGCTGATATTAAAACATTCACATGTTTTATAAGTACAATTTTAAACAAAAATGATGTTAAATTTAATGTACTTTTAATAGATACTTGGAATTATTTAGGTTTAAATACAATAGAATTACCAGTTTTCATTCATGAATATTGTATTGAAATGTTACCATTTCTTTTTGAAAAAACAGTTTTATTAGGAATTTCATCATTATGTTATAAAAAACTAGTAAACATGTGTACAACATCACCAAAAGTTTTTCAAGCATGTTCAAGCATTTTCAATGAAATATTAATAAAAACAAACTTTTCAAACCAATTTTTAATTTTTTTAAATACATTTTTAAAAGACTTCTATTTTCAATGTAAAAAAAATAATGTTGATATACATACTATGTATCCTTCCAAGTATAAGTATTTATTAATTTTACAAGATATTGAAGAAAACTCTGATAATGTTACTATTTCAGGTTATTTTTTACAAGAAATTAAAAAAGTATTATCAAGTTACCCTAAAGAATTAATTTGTTTATTAAGTCATTTTCCTAATTTATACAAAAATTTACCTTTAAGTAACATACATTAATTTTATATTTAATTATTTTTTAAGTACTTCATTATAATTTTTAATTCATATATCATTATTGTTATTATGTTTGTTATTTTATTTTCTGGTTTTAGGATGATTTATTATATTTTTTTGCAAATTATTAAAAATTAAATTTTATAATATTATGAAAAGAACTTCACCATTGTAATTTTTCATACACAAATTTTCAATTTAATGGTACTTGTACTTTTTTTATCTAACTGTTGCACAATGCTGGGTGCATTGCATATGAACATGAAGAATGCATTCTTAGTTTTTACACAATGTTTATTCTCTTGAAAATTCAGTATAAATATAGATTTCTTCCACTGGATAAAGCACCTTAAGGATCAATCTCCAAAGTATAGGTCTTAATGACAATTAGCTTGTATTACTTATTATTATAAATTTTTTGTTGATTTTAACTTCTTTTTATAATAATTACCATTTATTTACGAAAGTATTCTATGTTAAATAACTCAGTGTTATTTATATTTCATATTTAAAGCTATTTAACATGAAAATCAATAAAAATATATTATCTCGATATAGTATAAAATTATCCATTAAAAAAATCTCCAATATAATTATAAATTGATGTACACTATTTTTGCGATTTAATTGTTTCAAAAGATGAAATGACAATTTATTCTAGTTAATCTGTTATAAAAGATTGTGAGTGCGGAAATTTTAATTCATCCAAAGGTTTAAATTAGTCCTAAGGGAAAGATGATTTTGTTTCTATTGCTGTCGTAAAATTTTACATTTTAAAAATATTCTACAAAAAAGTTAATCAATTTAATTTGAACCCTATTTTCTGTACAAGTAGAATCGCAATATTTTGAATACTACTGTCATATGAATAAAATTATTGGAAATCAAAACTTAAGTTTTTCAATCAAAAATAATTATATGATGTATTGTCGTTAACGAGCATATATTTATTTGGGTCATACATACTGTTACACGCATCATACCTAATTTATCGTATTTATTACTAAACATAAGTAATATGACAGTGCTATGCAAACCGTTCACTAAGCCAAACCTTGATAATCTGAAGCTTCTATTAATTTAATTTTATCTATAATATAAACAATTATAATAGCAAAAGATTATGTTATATGTGTGTAGTTAATTAATTTAAATTAAATAATTTTATTTAACAAATAAAAAATCTTTGGAACGTGTTTTATTAAATTTCCGTTTTAGTTTATTAAATATGAATACTCAAAAGTACGTATTAGGAGTAGATATTGGCACTAGTTCGGTGAAAATATGTGTAGTAGATTATCAAACTCTAAAACCTGTCGATTTTAAATCGATTCCATGTCTAGCTAAAGTCAGCTCAAATCATCCAAAAGGAAATGAACAAAATGTGATCACAATTTTCGAAGCATTTGTAAAATGTTTAAGTGCTTTCCCAGAAAATCTTTTAAATCAGGTATACTCATTGGATGTTATTCATGTAAAATTTAATATTTATACCCTAAAGTAACATTATTTTTCTACCCTTAAAATAATATTGATTTTTGAACTTTTATGAATTATTGTAAAATATATTTATAAAATTAATTTTATTAATTACATAATAAAGCTATTTGGCAGTTTGTAAAAAAAAAAAATTATAAATTCATACCTTCATTTTTAGCTTTGTTCCAAAGGTAAAAATATGAGAGGGAGTGAAAAATGTATTTTTGCCTATTGAAAATTTTTTTTAAATTGTGTGACCTTTTTTCCTAATTTTATTTTATTATTTTTTGTTACTGTCTGAATGCATTAATAATTATATATTATTATGTGCTACAATTATACATGGTCATTAAATATTAAACCTAATTTTTTTTTTAATGTGTTTTGTAAATTTAAAATATAAAAGTAATATTTAGGTTTATTCTATTGGAGTTTGTGGACAAATGCATGGGATAGTATTTTGGAATGAACAGTTTGTCTCAAATTTTTGGAATAATGGCTTAAAGTTAAAAATATGTAACTCAGTTTCTAATTTATACACATGGCAGGATGCTCGAGTAGATTTGACATTTTTGAAGAAACTGCCAAAACCAGAGTCACATTTGAATATTTATTCTGGTTATGGTTGTAGCACTATATTTTGGTTGAAAGAAAATGAGCAAGTGAATTTTAAATGTTATAGTCAATACTTGAAACCAAATTAAATATTTTTTTCAGATTAGACATTTTTAATCAATATACTTATTGTGGCACAGTACAAGATTTGATAGTATCAATTTTGTGTAATAGAAAAGATTCAATTATGTCCACTCACAATGCAGCTAGTTGGGGCTATTTCAATGTAATTAATGGTTCTTGGAATAAAAATATTTTGGAAAGAGTTAATTTCCCAGTACATTTTTTACCCCAAGTTGTACCTCCAGGCAATATAGCTGGAACCTTATTTAAGTCTCTATATGGATTACAAAAAGGAACTATGATTGGTATAAGATTAAAAAAAAATTTAAGTATTTTATTAACATATTTTTTTATTATATAGGAGTTGCTCTTGGGGATTTACAATGTTCAGTATTAGCCACTTCACCCATTGAAACTGACGCAGTTATTAATATATCTACATCTGCTCAAATAGCATTCATTACCAAACATACTGAACATGTATTTGGTAAAGAAAAACTCACCAATACTCTGACATAAAGCTTATTTGGTAAAAAAGATACATTCCTAATTAGAATGCTATAAACTTCAAAAATATTTTTTTTAGTATAAATTATTTTTTTTATAATTTTACCAGATGAGTGTTAAAATTCTTAAAGATTCTTTTATTTATAATTTTAAAATATTTTTAGGAAGTATTGAATATTTTCCTTTCTTTCAAAACTACTTTTTAGTGGTTGCAGCATCTTTAAATGGAGGAAATGTGTTAGACATATTTGTTAATTCTATTTTAAATTGGATAGTAAGCCTTGGATTATCAATAACTAAAGGTGTGTTTTATTTTAAATTTTTTGCATGATGGTTTACTATTGAATAGAACAAGTTACATACATTTAGTCACATACTCAAAGAGAGTCCTAATAATCTAGATCTCTTCTTAAATTTTTCAAAAAAACATTATACTTATGAGATATACTTGTAGTATTACATGAAATTAAGAATTTTTGTTTAGATCCAAGATCTAAACAAATAAGTAATCAGTATGAAGCTTCTTATTTATTTCAAATAGTTATATATTTTATTTTTAATTTTTATATTTAAATTAATTCAATAATAGAATAATTTATTAATAGTATTATTTAATCACCTAATTTAGTTACTTTATAATATTACACTTTTTAATAGAAGATTTGTGGAGTCAATTATTAAAAAGTTCATCAGAAGAATATATAAATACATCCCTTATTGTTAGTCCATTGATGATGGCTGAAAGACATGATCCCTTAACTTACGGATCTCTGATGAATATCACAAGTGAAAATTTAACAATTAATCAAATGTTTACTGGAATTTGCCAAGGAATAGTTAAAAATTTGTACAAGTATTTATCATCATATTATTATTGTTATCTTTATTCACAAAACATCATTTAGCAAACCTTAAATGGTTATCTACTTATTTATGATAATTACAATTGTTAAAATTATAATATAAACATTAAATAAAATTTCATTTAGAATGATGCCTAAAGAAATATTAATTAAAGAAAATATCCAACAAATTATTGGAACTGGATCAGTTTTAACAAATAATGTTGTAATAAAACAAGAAATCCAAAAACTTTATGAACTTCCTTTAAATATAAAAGTTACTGGAGATGCAGCTTTTGGTGCAGCTTTATCAATGATGAATGAAGTCTTATTAGTAAATATTAAGTAAGAAAGTTATCTGACTAATAAAAATGTTGTTTTTATTTATATATTGTATTACATTATATACCATGTTTCATCACAAAATCAATAAAAATATTTTTATCATAATTATTTTTGCTGTGTTTTTGAGAACTAAACATTTGAAACTAAATTAAGTTCAAATTGTCACCTTAAAAATATAGATGTATCTATATTTTAAAGCTAGTGTTTTGTGTATATATATATATAAATGATTTTAATTAATCAATTCACAAAAAATTTCATACATTATTACTATCAATTTTCTCTTCTTCCTCTCTTTAATCCCAACTACTTGTGGTCGGCTACCCTTATCCTAAACTTCCACTTGACACGATCTTCCACATCCTCTACGCTCATATCAGCTATCCTCATATCGCAATTACCGTCAATTTTATAAAAAATAAATATTTTAGCTTTAATATTTTAAAATTATGTGTTAAATCTTAGGTAAATAATAGCTTTATGCATTTTAAAGATTATTATATATTAATATTCAGTTTAGTCAGTCTCAAAACTGAACTGTCAGGTCACGTTACAATATTAATGTCATGTTTTAAACCATGCCTAGTCAGAATTTGATTTAAAATGGAGAGGGGCTGTTATATAAATTTTATGTTTTGGACTACACTGAGGCAGACCTTTATTTAAAATACAACGGCAAAGTCAGTTTCAACTAGGTCAAACATCGATATTAAATTAAGTACATTCTGAATTGTACATTTAATTAATAAAAAAAAAAATCTAATTTTATTATTTTCTTAATGAATTTTAAAAATTAAAACCATTTTATTACAGTTATAGTATTTTTTAAATGGATCGGATAACTTGATTTTTTTTTTTTTAACCGGCTAGGCCTCTAAAATTTGATATATATATTAGGGTGGCCCTCAAAAATCGAATGTCTTTTTTTTTTTACGCTACCCCTTAATTTTTTTTTAATGGTCAAAAAAATGAGCTATGCAAAATTTGGGACCGATCCGTTAAGGTTAACCCGTGCCCCCGGGTCTATTAAGTTGAGTCGAAGAGTCAAATTTAATAGAAATAACTGATCTATGTCTCATAACTTTTTTTTCTCTTAACTTAGAATAATAAAAGTAAAACTCAAGTAAAGGAAATTTTACAAGAAATTCAAAAATAATAACTTCAATGTTGTTTTCTCAATAAATAGCCCACAAAAACACTACATACAGTAAAAAACATGTAAAAGTCTTAAAATACGTTATAACTGATTTTGTTGATTTTTAATTATTTATTTTCATTTTATTTTTTGGAAAACGCATATTCGTTTAAAAAAAGATTCTAGAAGTTTAATTTTTTATGCCAAGTACGATAATTATATTAGATTTATTATTTTATGGACAGTTAATTAATGATTAATTACAAACCTAACAGTTTAATTTAATTGTTATTAACAATTTTTAATTAATTTTTTTTTAAATAATAATAACTTTAAAAAAAATATTTTAACAATAATTAAATTATATTATTATAATATATGTATATATATTATAATATATATATTTTGATAATGTACTTTTTTTACAATTAGGGAATTTTTCCGATAATTACTTACTATTTGTAAAACGTATTGTTTCTGTTCTTCATTTGTAGTTAATATATTAATGTAGTCTTAGATTAATTTAATGCCACGCTAGGCTGTATCATTAATGACTCGTAATTTACTTATAGTATTTAAAGCATTTATGTAACTGTTGTTCGCACTCCAAAATGATGGATCAATTTTCAAAAAATCAGTGTTCAGATTAAATAGTTGTAAATTTGATGGTAACTTACTACCAGTTATTTCGTGGGAATAATTACCAATAAGATAAATATTAGTTCGTAATACTTTAAAAGACGCTAAAAGTATTGTACATTTGTGATTAAAACGTATCATTTAATATATAATAATAAACATGTAAAATATATTTAACGTGTTCACAAATTGTCTGCTGCATTTATACGACACAAATTATGTCAGTTGTCGAAAATAACTCAAATATACTTATCTTTAATAATAATAAAATTGGTACTATCTTAAAGTAGTAATTCAGTAAACCAAAATTGATATATTGATACGACAAAATGTAATAATACAATCAATTTTGTTAGGTTTGTCATTAATCATTAATTAACTGTCCATAAAATAATAAATCAAATATAATTATCGTACTTGGCATAAAAAATTAAACTTCTAGAATCTTTTTTTAAATGAATATGCGTTTTCCAAAAAATAAAATGAAAATAAATAATTAAAAATCAACAAAATCAGTTATAACGTATTTTAAGACTTTTACATGTTTTTTACTGTATGTAGTGTTTTTGTGGGCTATTTATTGAGAAAACAACATTGAAGTTATTATTTTTGAATTTCTTGTAAAATTTCCTTTACTTGAGTTTTACTTTTATTATTCTAAGTTAAGAGAAAAAAAAGTTATGAGACATAGATCAGTTATTTCTATTAAATTTGACTCTTCGACTCAACTTAATAGGCCCGGGGGCACGGGTTAACCTTAACGGATAGGTCCTAAATTTTGCACAGCTCATTTTTTTGACCATTAAAAAAAAATTAGGAGGTAGCGTAAAAAAAAAAGACATTCGATTTTTGAGGGCCACCCTAATATATATATATATATTAGGGTGTCCCTTATTTTGAAAATTTTGGAAATTCTTTGGGCTCACCCCCCAAATTCGTGTGTATACATATAAAAAGTGGCTACAAAAAATTTCAGGCCGATCAGATAAGTTTAACCCGTACCGACTTGGGGTTGAAATTCGGCCAAATGGGATACTTTTTTAGTTTTTAGCAATTAACTCGTAAATTAGCGCTCTCACAAAAAAAAAAATGTTGAAATTAAATTGTAGACCTAATTGTTTTGTATAAATTAAGTCCTTATAGTTTTTCTTTTAAATCCATTAGTTTTCTAGAAAAATGACAAAATACATAATATTTCGTAAAATTGCCGAAATTTGCATATTTACGAATATTTCATCATATATGATGAACCATATGTGATACGACCTAATGTTTCATACAAAAATTGTTTAAAATTAAATTTTACGAAATAAAAGTAATAAGTACAAATTTCATTGAACCGATCGTTTTATTGCTAAAGCTGAAATAACTCGATCATATTACGATTTTTACTAAATATAAGAATTTTATTGCTTAATTTAAATATATTTCATTTATATTGTATATTCAATTATAAATTGATGAATTTGTTTGACTTAAACGCATAATTATACTTAATTCTCAATATTATTGTACAAATAAAAAAAAAATTACTACATAAAATACAAAATGTTAAATTCATAATAATTCACAAATTATAACAAAAATATACATTAAAAACTATGTTTTAATGTTTCTTTGTTGCAATTAGGATATAATTTTCTATGCTCTTGTACACAGCGTAAAAGTAACTCAGCTTTTTCATCGTTTACAGTTAAACTTCCATTAGCTTAACCGCTTTCTCTGCAGAGTCATTTACTAATTTAAGTGAACATACAATTTCTTTTCAGTGTAAATAAAAATCATCTGTATTTTAATTACTTGAATCCAAATTTAAAAAATTAGTATTGATATCGAATCGTTTAAAAAATTTCATACTGCTTTTTGATAAAATAGAAGCTACAGTTTTTTCTAAACAATAAAATCAATCACTCAATAGTCATCAAAAAATGAAGATATCAAAAATTATTTTACCTGAAAATGATTTGTCTATATCACTCGATGAAAGAATAAAACGTTTGCTAACACAAATAATTTGTGAATTATTATGAATTTAACATTTTGTATTTTATGTAGTAATTTTTTTTTTATTTGTACAATAATATTGAGAATTAAGTATAATTATGCGTTTAAGTCAAACAAATTCATCAATTTATAATTGAATATACAATATAAATGAAATATATTTAAATTAAGCAATAAAATTCTTATATTTAGTAAAAATCGTAATATGATCGAGTTATTTCAGCTTTAGCAATAAAACGATCGGTTCAATGAAATTTGTACTTATTACTTTTATTTCGTAAAATTTAATTTTAAACAATTTTTGTATGAAACATTAGGTCGTATCACATATGGTTCATCATATATGATGAAATATTCGTAAATATGCAAATTTCGGCAATTTTACGAAATATTATGTATTTTGTCATTTTTCTAGAAAACTAATGGATTTAAAAGAAAAACTATAAGGACTTAATTTATACAAAACAATTAGGTCTACAATTTAATTTCAACATTTTTTTTTTTGTGAGAGCGCTAATTTACGAGTTAATTGCTAAAAACTAAAAAAGTATCCCATTTGGCCGAATTTCAACCCCAAGTCGGTACGGGTTAAACTTATCTGATCGGCCTGAAATTTTTTGTAGCCACTTTTTATATGTATACACACGAATTTGGGGGGTGAGCCCAAAGAATTTCCAAAATTTTCAAAATAAGGGACACCCTAATATATAAATATATATTGAAGTCAGGTCAAATCAGGCTTTAAAAATATAAAGAATATTGTATTTTCTATAGACCACATAGAATTAGTTTTTAGTGTAATCTATTTAATAAATAGTCTTATTTTAAAAATGTTTAATTACGTATCCATGTTCCAAGTATGGATTTCTTAAAATTAAAAAAAAATATATTTTTTTTGCTCGTATTCTAATTATCCCACTATACAATATAATTATAAAATAGCTATATTTTATTTGATTAAAAATTTGGTGGCTTTCATTTTAATACAATTTAAAAATTTTAAGTCTGATTTAAATCAATGTAAATAATTTTCTTTTAGATAGAACAGTAATACATTTCTAAAAAAATTTTCTATTAAATATGTTTGATTATTTAAGGTAAGAATAATTCTTTAAAAATTAACTGTACATTAACATTCATTTGAAATATTTAAATTGCCTTATAATTCATACTTATAATAATATTTATTAAATTTAAAGTAGTAAAAATAAATTAAATTTAATAAATATTCACACATGTAGTATAATATAATATTTAATTATCTTTATAAGTTTTGTAAAATAGTAAATAACAATTTAATTTTATAATCATTATAATAAAATTAATATCTTAATACAAGTATATAAAACATTTTACTTCTTATTTCACTTTATTGAATGGAATAGTAAAAGTGAACACAAAACAGTCTGTAAAAATACAAAGAACTTGTAAATTCAAAATGTTGTTTACTCTATTAATGTTATATATTTTAATTTTACTATGGTCAATACTATACAAACAATGTTACGGTAGTTACTAAAAAGAAATCCATATGGGCTATAGAGTTATAGTTATAACAATTGAGGAATTTTATATTTTTTCTTTATTATACCTGGAAAAAATAATGGTAGTTTTTTAGGATATTTAAATTATTGTAAAAAATACATAATTTTCTTAATGGAATTGAAATAAGTATATTATATTTTATTTTATAGGTTAGGCTACTTCTTGGAGAATGTTAAAAGCTTATTTTTTACATCAAATACATAAAATATCAGTAGTGAACAAGATGGGGAAATCTATTCTTGTGATATTATCCGGTTAATTATTTAATTAGTTAAGCAATTTTATGATACTATCTGTATTTTTTTTGTACTTTAATTCCTCCATAAAAAGTTTTTGGTTACACAACTATGGAATTATACATAATTTAAGTATTCTAACATCAAATAAATAAATATTTAAGTAAAAACTAACTTTATATTAAACAAGTAGCATCTATTTTACTAATAAACTTAAGCTTTAATATAATTACTTAGATTCATATACCTTACAAGCTGTTGTCTAAACTCAATAATTGTTCTTGTAATACAAATGACATCGTACTTGGCGTCAATGTTCCCTTACTTAGCATTTCTTCTCTGGTTTTTCCTTTAGTTTTTGGAGTTTTTAAAAAACTACATTCCGTATTTAAATTATTAAGTATGCCAAAAGCACCAGTCATTCTTGAATAATTTTTTTTTTTAGTATCAGTTTCCTTTACTGTAGTCACTGAATTTTGTACAGTTGATTCATTTTCAATTTTTTTTTCATTAATAATATTTATTAATTTTTCATAATCTTCATTAATATCACTTTCAATTGTTCCAAAATGTTTTTCTATTTCTAATTCAATCTCTCTAAAACGATTTTTGAGCATATTACAACATTGTATTTTGCTCTCTCGTATATTTTTTAGCTGATTTGCTTTTGATTTCTCAATATTTTCAATCAAAAGTCCAATGTCACTTGATAATGATTTATTTTCTGGTTGAAACACATTTTTTTCAGGTGTAATTGTTAAATCTACTTGGTATGGTGTTTTAAATTCTTCAGATTTAAAACTATTCAGATTTTGAGAAGATTTTGGCAAAACAATATCCGGTGATGTTGAGTCAAACTTATCAACATTTTTTTCAATTGACTCCAAATGACGATTTAACAAGTATTTTGATGCAGATGATAAAGCATTATTAAATTGTACCTTTTCATATTTAGTACAAGGTGAATCAATTAAAGTACTAAATAATTCTTTAGATTGAAGAATGGGATTTTTAAGTTCACCATTTTTAAGGTTTTTTGTCATTGAAGCTTCAAAGAAACCAGTTCTATTTGGAGGTGACAAAGGAATTTTATTAAAATGCCCATACATATTAATATAGTTATCATTGGATGACGCTGGTGTACCATATATATCTTCAGTATGAATATTTTCATGACTTTTTGATTTGGTAGAAGAAAGAAAATTATTAATCTAAAAAAAAACATAAAATGTTGTAATATAAATAAAACCTACAATAAAAATTATTAAATTTTAAAGAATTATATTTGATATAAAATAGTATTTTAATCAATTTGAAAAAAAACATTTTGTCATTATTATAGTTTTCATCTAAGAACTAACAAACACAAACTTAAATTAACACTACATTACATTAATTAGGTTATCTACTTGACAAGGTATTCCGTAAAGAAACAGGTCGATTGTTACAAAGAATGAAAACAATAAAAAACAGTTTCTTTACTTATTGAATACCTATATAATCCATTTTACCTATAAAAAATTTAATTTTGTCTAATACTGGATGAAACTATCAAAATTGGAATAATAAATCTTTTTTATTCCATAAGATATAATTAATTTAGTAGTTAAAGTAATGTTTTTAAATTTTTACTTCATGCAAAGGGTTAAGTGGTCTTCTACTCATGACAAAAGTTGCATCATCATCTACATTTTTTTCAAACAATGCTTTTTTGGCTCCTCTTTTATCTTCTAAACAGAAATATAAAATTCAAGTTAATTTTATTAACTACAATTGTATTATATCATTTCTACTTTAGCATTTTAGTTTTAAAAGGCATTTAAGAATTTAAAAGTAGATATAATTTTTTAAATACAATTTGTGGTTTATAAAACCTTTACACTTATTAAAAAATTGAATCACTCTCTTTTTAAAATTGCTACTATGCTAATTACTTAAGTGTTAGATTAATGAAGAAGTGTTAAATTGAATGAAAATGACAACCTGTTTTATGATTTTAATGTTATATTATTAAGCTATTATAATAGTTAAATAATCAATTTCTCAACATTTTCTACTAACTGTAGGTTATTTGAAAAATGTTTTCATTGAAACTTTGTAGTTTTAAAAATTAATAAAATATACTTATTTTTTAAAATTTTAATTTAATGTATCGATCTAGTATATATTTAGATTAATGATTACCTCTAAAGAGACTAATAATAAATGCAGTTTTGAAAATAAATTTTTACCTTTTTAAAAAACCCTGTTGCTTTTAGAAGTGACAGGTGTGTATAATGTTTGATAAATGCTTCATTAATTTCAATAAATCATTTAAAAAAAAGTATCAAAATAACAATCTCAACTATAAGCAAGTATCAGAGAAAATTAAATATAATAACTAATTTTTAAATATCTATTTCATTACACATATAAAAGTCTTTTTATTGTTAAAAGCTTACCATTTTCATTTTCAGGAGTTAATTTAACTAAATTATGCACAACACTACGACGTCCAACTCGTCTTTCCTTATTCATTTTTAATTATATTTTTGTGCTACCGATTAATAAGTAATGAAATGCTACTGTAGTCTATACTAAGTTATAAATATGCAGGATAAATTTAGAGATGATAGATTAGATAATATTTTTATTGTTTCTTAACCAGAAATTGTCACGCGATTAAATAATTATATTTAAAAAATGAAGATATCTACAGAATATTATCATTACAGTTACAAAATTAAAAAGTAACCGACAACTATGTTGATTTAGTACAGCTGATAAAACAGATTTACAATATTCCAATTCTTAATATAAAAAGTGATAGCAGTTGGTAACATCATAGAATATATTTTATTCTGTACTAATGTTAAATACTCATTACAAGTACCAATATACTTTTTAACTTTAAAAAGTCTTTGGCACTCATAATCTTACCAATACTCAATAAGAAAATGATTAATATTTTATGATGATCACAATTCTATTAAGTTAGTTAAGTCCGCAATATTCTAAAATATAAAGAAATACCATAGATGATCATCGTTGGATGTCTTAAGTTTGATTATTCTAATCATACATTTTAATTTGTGTATTTCTTTTCATTTTTTTTTGGGAGTTTTTATTACAAGATTTTTATTGATGTTTGGTAAGAATTTCAAAAATAAAATTGATAAACAAATAAAATAATGGTAAGTGGTAATTGCTAAAATCACAAATCCTCTACATTAATAATATATACTTACGCCTTTAAAGCAAGGAATAAATTATGGAAAATATGTGAAGCTTAAATATCGAAGAGGATTCTTTAGGCTGTCTATATAAAATTCCGATAAAAGTACACAGTTACGCAAAATATATGTTTTACAAGAAAAAATTGTACATTAGAATCAATGTAACAAAAATTTAATTATTAAAATTAGAATAACTCAAAAAGAGAAAGTATTAAAATGTATTGTGTAAAAGGTTGACATTTGTTTACTGAGGTATTCACCAAGAGCACATTCAGAAATCATTTTATGAGGATATTTAATTTTTTTTTTTTGACTTTGTTAAACATACTCTAAAATTTTTTTTTTAAAAATCAATGTGATGATCAAATAAAAAGTTTATAGTCATTTTTCTTAGAAATTGGCCTTAAAAAATATTAATAGCCCTGGTCCAAGAGGTAATATGAGATTGGGTTCCAAAGAGTATTGTTATATTCAAGTATGGGATGTACCAATGAACAATAATTTGAGATAATAAATGGAAGTCGGATAATGAATCCAAACAACTTAAATGCTCTACAGCAAATTTGCTTATTGGGGCAAAAATCAATGGCCAGAATAAAGCCTAGTTTTAGTTTTTATCGAAGTGGACATAATAATATATATATATATATTCAGAGAGAGTAATTAACTTTTTAAAAGCCTTAAAGAAGTCAGTGTTAATAACGTTGAGTTGACAGCCTAAAGGAATCAAAGGTATAAGAAGTAATGATAGTTGATAACAAAATAATAATGTACGGTCACATTGACCCCTATATAATATTGTTAAGTGGTTACGGCGGTGCAGCCGCTGAAAGTGAGCAGTGATTATTTCCTTTAATAAACGGTTTTGTAATAAATGAGTAAAATAATGAGGATAATAAATTGAAATTATCCTAACATTGAATATATTTTTCTTTAAGGAAGTTTACATAGTGTTACAAGTGGTATTAGAGCGACCGGGGCGGAAACCATGTTGCTAATCAATTGTATTTGTAAACGGCACTCTTTAGTACTAAATAAAAAACAAATTTAACTATTCACAAAAACTTGATTGTAATTTTATTTTGGGAAATAAAATGTGCTAGGCTACATTTCTAATATAATAACAATAAACACAAACTGTAGAATAATCACGAAATTTTAAATTTAATGTAGGAATTATTTTTTAATCAAATTATAAAAAATGTCAAAACAACTCAGATCTTTAACAATATATATATATATCAATATTTATGTCAAATTCAATTGAGGGGGGGGGGAAATGATACTTTTGCCCTCCTGTATGTTGACTGGGGACAAAACTGCCCATCCTGCCAATCGGTTCCGGTGTCACTGACAAGATCTTTTAACTCCTTAACATTTTCCATAGTCTCCCTAAAAATGAAAAAAAATTGTGTATTTTTATATAACTGTACACATTTTTTTGGGGCCATAGCAAACTTTGAGAAGTTTAAATATATCTAGTTCCCTTTAAATTGTCGTCGATGGTCACAAATGTTATTTATTTTGTAGATATTAATACACCTACAGAATAAATTAAAAAAAAAATCTACAATTAATATCTGATGCATAGAATACTTTGTTTACAAATATTTAACTTTTAGATACCTATTGTAAATTATTACACGATACGAAAAGTATTGAAAACAAAAGTTTCTATGAAATTATCTAAAAAAACAACAAAAACCAACAGGTGATTTATTTATTTTTTCATAATTATTGTATGTTATTTTGTTTTCTACTGTTTTTCTTGCCTATAGCAAAAAGTAGTTAATACCTAGTTATATAGGAGTCATAAAATTTATATAACCCATAAATTTCGCAGGAAACACAATCCCGACAAATACGCTACTGGTAACATAGATCATTCACTTAATTATCGTGCTTTGATTTTTAGAATATATTATTCCTGAAATTTCTCATTCTTTCAATATTTGAAGACATTATTAATTTACTTTACTTTAACATGGACTTAAAATCAAATTCGTCAGCTATGCATGACATAAATATCATTAGTAAGATTTTATAAAATTAAAACAATCTTAATGATAATACATAAACTGACAAAAAGAGCACAGCTATACACAGATTAAAATAATAAAATTGAACAACAAAAGATTTTGTTTTTAAGTTATAATTATTACAGTTTTATTTGCTCCAGTTACAGATAATGACACTTGTTTTATACAAAATCATAATAATCTGGTAACAAGTTTTGTACAAAACAAGTACAAACGGAAAATAAATATTTTATAATCAAGTAAAAAAAAAAAATCTAAAACAATCAACAAAGAATACAATATAATAATATATAATTATAACAAAGGTAGGTACTATTGTAAGTGAATTACAATATATAATATATATTTTTTCTTAATTGGAAAATTTTTTTAATATTTTTCATTTTATCTAATAATTTTATATTATTTATGTTTAACATAAAATAAACTTTAAATTTGCTAGCACTTTCATAAATTAATACAAGGTTTCAACAAGGTATCTGCTAAATAAAATAACATAATTTGGGAAAATTTAGAATGGCAGTGTCTTTGAATCCTATAACTTTTCATTTACTCAAATCTCTTCAATTGACAGAAATAAATGGATATTAGCCTTGAGCATAACATGAAATTTTCATACTCGCCCAACACAAAAGAAAAATTGGTAAGTCCATTAATTTTAGCAGAAAAATATATGTAATTTCTAATTGTTCTATTCTCAAAATCACAGACCAGCGAGGAAAGTATCCTCTCCTTATACACACCCGACACAGACTATAACAAACCAATAGAATTTCTTATTCAAAAATAAATATTTTTAAGTACACATAAAAATTATAGGGTTAACAAAAAATGTTAAACATTTAGACAAATTATATAATAAATTTTTTTTTCTATTAAAAAAAAAATGAAGCAAATCAATTTAAAGATATATACCAACTTCTTAACATTCACTTCAATAAAGTTTTTTTATCCCAAAATTTAAATAATACATATATCTATACAAGACTCTAATGAGTCAGATACATTATCTTAACAATTTACAATTTTATTTTAAATGTATTTTTATAATACTATTGTATTTATACTTTTGTACTTAAAAAACTATAATTAAAACACTACAAAATTTTAAAAGCAAAGAAAAATACATTAGAGAGGTATGCTATCAGGTTTTTAATTAAAATTTTTTACTGATAAAATATTTTTTTAAGTTACACACATGTATTTGTATGTGTGTGTGTGTGATTGAATATAATATATTATTTAAAAATTAATAACAACTGAATTTTGGAATGATTCATTATAGCTAGAATAACGTAATATAACAATTGTCAACTTGCAGAATAACATTTAATTGTAAATTTAATAACAATTGCAATAAAATATAAAACAAAAACATCCATCTGGTAGTAGAAGTCACTAGAATTTAAAAGTCTAGACAAATTTTCAACAAATATTGCACTAATAAAGAAATTTAGACTGTTATTTAAAACAAGCATAAAATACTTTTGTGTTGCACAATCAACGGTAACTCATGTGCAAAATAGAACATTATTCATAACCACAGTAAATTCACATTCTTGGATGAAAATCATCCCCACCACCTTGTTATATTATACAGTTCTTTAGACCAGCTTGAATTATGAAAACAATTTTCGATTATCAATTATTTTCTTTTTTTATGTATATGTGTTTTAGTGTATAAGTGAGAACAAATTAATTGTATAACTTTCTTAATCAATTGTTTCTATAGAGATTTATTGTGGACTTTCAGTAGTCAATGTGGCTGCTACATTACTTTTCTCGTTGCACTCAACCATCTTATCGCAATAGTCATTAAAGTAATCACGGAACCGAGACCAAGATTTTTCAGGTACTGTAATTGCAGTTCTGAAATTTCCTTTTACCTATACATAAATGATATTTTAGTATCATTAAAAAAAAATTTTACTTAAGAAAAACCAAAACTAACTATAATAGTTACCTCCGATATACGCATATAAATTCCACGATTATTTTGGCCGACATCAAAATAGAAATTTTTATTATCAACCCTCATATGACGCCCATCAGGCAAGTCTCCTTTAAACCCACCATCATCTGTTCCAAACTCGTCTAATAAATCTGTCAAATTGTCACGAAATTCAATCATTCCTTGTGCTGGAATAGCAACTTGTGAACGTGGTCCACCACGAGTAATAGTTTGAGATACCTATTTAAATAATTGATAAATTAGTATATTAATTTCAAAATTAATTTTATAGTAATAATAATTAATTGATAGACATACACGGAGGAATCTTCCACGAGCATTTTCTTTAAGATCTAAATAGTATCGGCGATTATCTTTGATCATCATTTCAGATTTTAACTTGCCATCTTCTGGAACTGTATCAGGGTTTGGTGGGCCTGATAAAAAATACTATGTAACTTAGATTACATAAAAATTTAACAAAAATACTTTGAAGATACCTACTCTTAAACATGTGCATATTAAAAATTTGCTACTTAGTTTTAATTGAGAAAAAATAAAAAAAAATTCGTTTTGGATCAAAAATATACAATTACATCAATAATATTTTTGATATTTTGATTATTTTAAAACTTATATAAAAAACAAAAATTTTTTTATAAAAATAATTATTATTTTAAAAAGTGCGATTTATAATAGCACACACCCTCTGGAAGGTTAAATAGATTTAAATAATTGGAGATAGTTTTCATCTAGTTCTAATACATTACCAAATTGTTAATACTGACTCTTTTTTTTAATTAAGTACTATACAAAAATTTAATTTAGTTTTGCAAGATTTCAAAAAATAACAAATATAACAGATATTTTAAAATTAAGACAAAATTTTTTTTTTAAATCAAATTCATTAAAATACCTAGTTGTGAATAATACTCGCTGAAAGTTCCAAGATGATCTCTAAAATCAGCTGCTGTTGACAAAGCCAAAAATATTTGACTTCTTCTACCATCAGCCCCAATCTAAAAAGTGAAGTGATTTATTTATTTTTTCCTTTTTTTTTAAAGCTATTGGAAAATACAGAATATACAAATTAAAATTAAGATTTAAAAAAAATTATTTGCTATTATTAATATCAAATGGTATATTACATTAATTATTAATTTTATTTATACAGGACAAGTCACAAAGATATGACAAAAAACAATAACTTTTGATCTAGTAATTTATTTTATTTTACTTTTTGATAAATGTTTAATTTTTAATATAAATTAATTTTTATTATATAAATAATTTTTTTTTATTATACATAAAAAAATTGTCAAATATATTTTAATAAAAAATTTGGTACCAAAATCTCTTATTAATACTTTAAAATAAATTTTTACATGTATATTTTACGGTGTCAAATGATAGTCATGTTATGCAGAAAAGGATCATAAGTTATTGGACTTGTCATATCCAGTATATTAGACTGACCAAAATTTCTTTTTTGTTATCTAATAAACCAATAATGCACAATAAAAAAAAAGATTTGCATCCAAATTGAATCTTTTTGGTCAACCCTTAAAGGTCACATAAGAGTATTAACTTTCCTATTTAAACAACAGTTCTAAAAAATTATTTAATTGCTAATTACACAATCAAAAATTTGACATTTTTAATTTTTAAATATTTACCTTGTTTATTTATTTTATCAATCTAAAAAAAATATTTGTTTCTTTGGAAAATGTTGAAACTTTTAAGAAACCATATTATAGAAATATTTACTCGTTGAGTTAAAAACATTTTTATTAAATATATAAAAGGTATCAGAACTAATTTTTTTTTTTAACTCAGAGTACATAATGTAAGCTTTAATTTGACATATATTTGAAGCTCAGAGTATTTCCGAAACATTTTCAAAAGTTAAGTTGAAAAAGTCCTACTTTTTATACAAATTTTCAAAAATTCAAAATAAAATTGAAATAAGTTTAACATTATATTCAATGTTAATTAGATTTATATAATATTCATGAAAATTAGTGTACCCCTTTTTAAGGTATTTTAAAATAAATTAAAATACAATACCAAGAATTTTAACACAAAAATAGCATTTTTTTAAACTACGGCAACCATTTGAACATAAAAGATAATACGTTGGGACAAATTTTATATTTGAACTTATAGTACATAACATTAGCTTTATATTAATATATGTTTGAAGTTCGGAGTATTTCTGGAACATTTTCAAAAATTAAATTGAAAAAGTTAAATTTTTGTACAGACACAAAAAATAAATAAATAAACACATCATGGTAAAATTAATACCTTCTCAGTTTCGCATCGAAGCTAAAAAATAATTTTCTGTAAAGTTAATATTTTTATTTAAAAACTACTTTATGTTTTGTTATAAGGGAAATAATAAAACTCGTGAGTAATATTAACTTAGTTCATATTTGAATGTCAATCTTTATAAGTGCAATAATGATACTCAATAAAAAATTTTTTTGACACATTAATACAGAGTAATTTATTTATCAAAAATAACTCAATTAATTGTGTAATAATACAATATTGAAATTTTAGTTTCTATATTTTATGATTGTCAAAATTTGTGATATATTTATATAAGCATATAAAACACATAAAACACATTATTGTTTTTAAACTAATTAAAAAAAATTGTATTGGCTGATGATGTGTTCAGAATAACTTAACAAAATTTATAAATGCATAAAAATATGTTTCTTAATTAAGGTAAGGTATGAGGGATGAACGTAAAAAATATATCATTGTTATTAAATATTAAAAAATATGTATCTAAAAGAAAACAAAATTCTCAATATTATTTTTATTTTTGACTAATTAAATAGTTGATGATAAATGAGCAACCTGAATATACAGAGTGTAACAGATATAATTATGATCCAATAATCACTATACTTTAAGTTTTTTTAAAAAAAATTTTGCTTTTTTAAACTACATTCAAAAATAGTATTTTTTAGAGATTTTCTTATAAAAAACTTAGATAGGATAATAATAACTTAAGTTGATGGATATACATTATAAATATACACTAATACAACCTGTAGCCACCCATACTCTTCCATTCTATGTAGAAAAATTTTTAAAAAAATTATTTTTTATTATTAAAAATAATATGCTTTTAATAGTCTTAGAATATAAAAATTGATAAAAAAAGGATAGCTAAATGGTTATTGGATCAAAAGTTTGTGGTATGAAATCCAACCTTGATACCTATGCACTACAGCATAATGCATTCCCAACTAATCTATTACTAACAAAAAAATAATAGTTTCATATATAAAAACGTAAAATACATAACATCAAATTTTTTCTTATAAATTTATCCCCTAGACAGTTTAAAAAATCAATAGATTTCACTTAGAATATTGATGAATTTATAAAAATAAAATGTAGTTTTTTAGGTTAACAAAAAAAACTTACTTCAGCAACTTTAATGAATTTTCCTCTTCTATTTTGCTTGACATCCAAATAAAATCGTTTGGACTGTATTTGAAGCATTTTTGTAGCCAATTCCAGTTCATTACCTTGTTGTTGTTGGCCTACAAGTAATGAATTAAAATTTTATTGTGAACAATTAGAAATAATAATAATAATAATATTTGAAAGAAAATAATTAAATATTGATACCTTAGAACACATATCTATTTTTTTCTCAATTTTGAGTTATTAGTAATAGCAGGTCGGTAATGTCATCAATTGAATAGTACTTACATCCAAAAATTGAACATATCACTTATATATAAATATATGGGTATCAATATATAAGTAAGCAAGTTAGCAAATTTTAACTCATTAAAATGTTATGTTAATTTAGAAAGTAGTAATTTAAAAAAATTAACCTAAAAGGGTTACCGAACTAAATTAAATTAACTTAATGTTTTAACTAATTTTTATTTCATAATTTAAGTTACAGAATAATTATAAAACAATCTAAATATTTCTAATCAACATAGTCTTAATTAATTCAATCAATAATCTAAGATATACAATTATATTATGCATAATTTGATTGAATACTATCACCTCAAATTTTAAGACTCTATAAAAACATATTAATGCTACTCTTGAAAACCCCTAAAACTTTTTGTGAATATATTTTTAAAAAAAGCAAGACATGTAACCACAAAAACTTTAAATAATTGGTATCACAATCATGCAATGCAACAGTTTTGGTTCTTTAAGAAAATCTATTATATTTAGATTGTAGGCCATATGTTAAAAATTATCTTAATAATTTTTAATTTTAATATATTAGTTTTTCATAGAAAATTATCAATTTTCATTTATGCGTTAGATAAAATTAAATTAGAACTATTATTATGCTTATCTATGAATATTTAACTGCTAGTGTTGGATGTACCCAATTAAATAAAGCATTATACTTGTTTTAATGAATACCAAAACAAGTATAAAAACTTATAACAATGTATCCTGTATTATTGGTACAAATTTGAAACAAATTATAACAACTTAAGTAGGATATTAAATAAAACAAAATCTTATAAAAATAATTTGCAGCGCAAGCATTATTTTACAGAAATGTTGAATAAGAATATAAGAAAATTTACTAGTTATTCTTCTAATACAATAAAAGTTTTAATTTCAAAAAAATACTTTTACAGAGTTACAAAACTTAGTTTGTTAATCTCTTAGAATAAATGTTTAGTAAGAATTAATTACTTACCAGAATCTGAACCTGCAGCTCCATTTGAAGCTTGTCCTAAAAAAAAAATAGCTTTTTAAGTTGTGTCAATTTATTATTTACTTAATGTAATTTAACAAAAAAAAAAAAATTATAAACGTGCTTAATTACAACAGTTATAATAAAATGTTGAAAAACTACCTCTTCTACGACTAGCTCGTTCGTCTTTTGACATGACGTTTTAAGAAATCTATACCGAGTTTACAATATGATAAATATTTAGTTATTTTGTAAATTATACACAGGATAAAATAGATAATTGAATGACTACAAAAATATTAACGTATTAATTAGAAGATAATTCATATTAAGCTAAAATTATTATACGATCAAAAAAAATGGGGAATTCAGCGTTAACTCAAAAAAGTGATCGGCCGGCTGATCGGGGTCGGCGGCCCCTGCTTTGGGTCAGCCATCTTGAATTTGCAAATTTGTTATCTCCCACACAGAAGCGCCATTCTATGAAGGCGCGCAAAGTAATCTAATATGTCCTACCGAGTTTTCAATTAGATAATTCTGTTTAATCTCTAAGATAAAATTTTGTCTTTTTACACTTACTCTGGCTTTGAGGCTGTTCATCGCCGCTTTCTCGGTCCGACATTATCCGACAACACACAATCGCTCGATCCACCGCCTCTCTTGTCCCCCGCCGACGGCTGAACGATTTTTTTTCTCTTGCCGCTCTAGCTTTACCTTTTTTGCTTCTTCACTCTCTTTTCCAATATTCCATGCACTCTTTCTCTCTCACTCATTCACTTATATTCTGTCTCAGTCCCTCTATGTTTCTCACTCTTTTCTCTTTTTGCATCGGAAAATTCCTTGTACGGACAATCAGCTGTTTAGTAGGAGGAGCTAACATTAGCGTGACATGCACCTATTTTATGAAAAATCTGCACGTATGCTTCTATCTACTGGATTATATTTAAATCATATCTCAAAATTAAATCTTCACAATATTTTAATTAAATTACATATATGTGTTGTGTATAGAATTATATAATAATACTAAAAGATGAATGCTAAAGCTATAAATCGATTTTTTAAGACTAAGTATTATAACCTAACACAATGTTCCTAAGACCTTTCCAAAGATTAGCAAATTAATGGAAACAAATCATGTTACATAGGAATAATCTCAATAAATTAACAGTTAAAATAAAAAATATATAATAAATATAACTTGCTACGTTGATTTTTTTTAAATATATTTTAAAAAAAGTTAATTTAATATTTTTGGCCAAAATTGCTTATAATTAATTTTTTTTTTATTGGAGGGCATTCAAAATAGTAACTTTTGCAAAATAATATCACTCTTTCGACTTTTGAATATTTTCCTGAAATAATACTACGTCCTTTAAAACTATGTAAAATTAAAGTTTATGTCACCTACTGTAAGTTAAAAAAAAAAGTGTGTTACAAATATTTGCGGATGAAGTAAAAATTCTATCAGTTATTTAACTGATAGAATATTAAGTTTACATCAGTATAAACATAAAAAATACACCTAAAAGTTTTATTTTCAATTAAAATTAATTTAATTTATTATTATTATTAATTTTCTTATTTTATTGACACCGAAAGATATAATAGACTTATGATAACTAAAAAAAAAACTAATGCGAGTTTTTGGCTGGACGTTATGAAGATTGGTGAAAATCAAAGGCGTAAAGCATTTGAGTAAATGTATTTGAATAAAAGTATTTAAATACTTTCATTGATATTGAATAGTATTTTTAAATACATTTAATAAAAAGTATCTGAGTAGTATTTTAAATACAATTATTTAGTATTTAATACTGTTTAATATTCAGTACTATTAATATACTTTTTTTTTTTTATTTGCTAACCGTAACACAGCAAGCAAATTAAACTCAGTCAAAATCAAAATTGAGAATAATTCTCTGTTATTTTATATGTTCATTATAGTATAACATAATTATTGTGCTTATCTAAATGCTATTATGTATACATCTATTTTTAATACATCAGTTGAACCTACAATAGTCTATTGCAGGTTCAAATGATTTACTCTATTGTCAATAAGACATACTTACAGGTTTTTACACGTGTACTAATATTTATTTTTTTCACTGATTAGTCTCCAATAATTAATTTTATTTACCTCTAACAAAAAATATCGAAAATAATAAATGAGTTCTCTTAATTTAAGAGTACTCAATATTTGACTCAAATTACCCTCTTGGTAATTATTTAGGTGGAACCTTTTGCTCTTAGTTAAAATAAAAACATTATTATTATTTTTTAATTGTATTCTTAGTATTTGAAATACTTTTGTAAAGTAATTGAGTATTACTCAAATACTTTTGTATGAAAAGTATTCAANTCTTAGTATTTGAAATACTTTTGTAAAGTAATTGAGTATTACTCAAATACTTTTGTATAAAAAGTATTCAAATAGTATTTTAAATACATTTTTATTTAAATATTTGAATATTATTTTCACATACTTTATTATTACAATAATTTTAATATATTATAAAACTGTCATTATTAACTCATTATGATGTGCATTAATTAAATATGAGTTTTAGTATTTTATTATTTTTAAATATTATTTATTTTATCTTATAATATGCATCTGTTATACATATTCTAGAACATGTAAACATCTTATTACATAATAAAACATTGAAAAATTAGCCAATGCTGGAAAAATTACTTAACGACGTACGATTTTCAAATTTTTTTTTTTAATGAAAGAGCTCGACGACGTTATTCTAGGAAAATTATTTGTGAATGCGAGAAAAAATTTTAAACGCTAACGTTTAAAATTTTTATCAAAAACGCTCATTGATATATCATTTTTTGATTTAAAATTTGAAATTTTTACCAGAAATACTCCACAGGTACCCTGAAAATTTGTTAATTTTTTACTGATGTGAGATTTTTTTTTCCAAGTCCACGCGCATAGTTTTAGTAGTAGTAGTAGTGTTCTATATATATGGTTAATGTTTTGAATGTTATATCAATTTTGTTTAAATTTTATGCAATTTTACATGTGTACAAATAACACGTTATTTAAAGATACTTTAGGGGTACAACTAAATATTTTAGAATCATATTATTAGGTAATTTTTTTATTATTTCATGTAGCTAATAAAAATCTTTGTATAGTACGTATAAAAAAATAAGTTATGTATGATAGAAAAGTTCGTTAATTATTATTTTCATTAATAACTTTTTTTGTTTACTATTTTTGAATTTTACTCATAATATTAATCAAATGTCTACTATATTTTTGTTAAACTTCTAGAGTAATACTTTTCCTGCACAACAGTATTGTGTTATTGTGCCCGCGGGTTCTCCTACCGGAATCATTGGCTTATCTGTAAAGACAGCCCGAATGGCCTTATGCATTGTATATAAGTGAGATTCACAGGGCATCGGGTTTAGGGCGGAGCCCCAGCTAGACAAAGCCTAGTTAATATATAATAATAATAATGTATACAAAATGAAGAAGAGACGCCTGACCATATACCTAATGTATGGATTAAAAGCAAAAACGAATAATAGTAATCTACAGACTAAAAATTGTGAAAAAAAAAAACAATTTTTTCAAGGACTGAATTATCAGCAAATCATAAAGAATGACCATTATGTCCAATAAAAATTATAAAAAATGATAAATGTAAATATTTACATTTATTATTTAGATACATTATTTTCTGATGAGTTAGTAATAAAGTACTTATGAAAAGGCCAATAAGGAAAAAATAGCTTAAATAGCCTGAATATTTTCAATACTATAATAAGTAAGTATACTTTTGTTTTAATTCAAATAAATTGGTTTAAACCATGAATACTGAATTCTACGAAGTAAATATAAATAATAACAACTTTTCTGAAACTCGAAAGTTTCACATAATTTTCAATTATTGAACATATGAAATTAAGAAGCAATATATGATAACTTATTATATTTCTAATTATAGATAATTCTTATAATAAATAATTAGACTTAGAATTTTAATAAAATTAGAAAAAACTTGTTATAGAATAGCAAAAGTGGATGGATGTACGTTTGGAATAATATTTTGTTGTTAATTAAAAATAACTCTTCTTATTTTATTTTAAGAAAAATTGAATTACCTTAAATCAAAAGCTAATCATTACAGCTCAAGCGGTAATGATTATTTTTTAATTTGGATCGATATTGAAAAAGTTACATCTGAATGTATTTTATACATTAGATAATAATGTTATCAATATTGAACAATACATGGACGTTTTTTAAATATTAACAAATATTTGTAAAGAAACATCACATTTTTTTTTACTAATTTTTGAAATAATTTTATTTCTAATTAATGATATTTAGTTAATCAGATAGTGTTCCGTAAGTAAAGAACTATTGTTCTCGTCGTTTGTAATAATTAACTCTTTTCTATTTTTTTTGCTTCAATGTGTAGTAATTCTAAACAAGCCCATTTTAGAATTCATAAAATGCATTGAATTATAAGTGAATATCAGTGTATTTCAAAAACAATAAAAAATCTGTTCTAGCAATTTAAGAACTAATGCTTTTAAGATACTATTATATGTTAATATCATATTAAATGTATGTTCGAAATAAAAACTTATCCATTGAAATAAAAAAACACAATGACGTTGTTTACAATTTTTTTGTAGAATTCAATTTATTACTCTAGGATATTATTGATTGATTATGACTATTTTTATACTTACACGTATTTCAGTCGCATTCTTCCGTCCTCCTAGATATTAAAATTCTAATAAATTTTAAAGTACTAGTCCAAAAGTTGTTATCGATAAGTAAATTTTTTAATTAGATTATTTTCTATTTTATAAGTTAATTAAATATGTAAGGTACCACTTAAAAAAAGGTGATTATCTTATAATAAATAAGATATTGACCTAAAAAGTATTCAACCACTTATAAATCAAGAGATAAATACTACTTAAATAAGTAAAAAAAATGCTCAAAACTATTATTATTTTAAATAAATTTAATGGTCAAAAATAAATCAATCGTCCTGTATATGATAAAAAAAAATTTAAGGGGAAAAGGTGGGGTAAACACATAAACTAACATTCCAATATTTTTAGTTTAATTTGATTCAATAAAAAAATTTATATAATAGATTGTTAAACAACTTTAATTTTTTTTTTATGCAACAAAATGTTTATTTGTTTTTTCTATGAATTAACGATACTTCGTCACCTTTAGTTATATAGATGCTTTGCAAGGATCATTGAATCGTTAGTGAGGTTGATTTTAACGTCAATGCGAAGATAGGAATGCATTAATTTTACTATGATGTGTTTTTTTGTGTCTGTTAACGCTTCTTTTTCATTTCTCACTCAACCGATTCCTTTCAATGATACATCAAAACATCACAAATTGTTTCAAGTCGAAGACATTACCCTCAGATTTGTCTTCATGATGAACATACACCCAGTAAAAAACCTCGATCTATATAATAAATTCATTGTTCAATTTGATAAATATATCATTACTATTGAATCAATGATATATTTATCAATATGATATTTTTTGCTTCGATGCGAAGCTGAGAAGGTATTAATTTTACTATGATGTGTTTTTTTATTTTTTTTTTTTT